GTCACTCTCCTGTCCTGAAACGACGAACGGTGGTGTGGTGCGGGCACACTTGACACACCTTCCTCCAGGTGTTAGGGCCTCCATGCCACAGTCATCGAGTGCCCTCCTAAGTTACCTCTGCACATTTCTTCGGTGTTCCTGGCAGCAGCCATGAAGATCAAGGCTCTTCTGCATGTGAGCAGCATCCTCCTTCTCCTTGGGTGGTGACGTGTCATGATGTGCCATGCCGTGCCAGCTCCGAGCCGATGACGTGCCAACACAGCTTCTTACATGTGTGAAAAGAAAAGCACTTTTGGGTGTTTGCCTTTTTTTTTAATGAAGATCTTTACGTCATTGTGTGTGAATCATGTGTCATGTGTAGGCTGCTCCAGTAGATAATTGAGTCATCTGGGTAAAATATAACCCACCAAAATGAAGCAGCTGCTTAGTAAATTGGACTGTTCGTTTTTTATAGTTTTCTTACTTTTTTAAAAGTTTTTTTCTGATATAGGGTCTCACTGCATAGCCTGGGCTGTCCTATAACTCACTATGTAGACCAGGCTGGCCTCAAACTTACAGAGACCCAATTGTCTTCCTCCGAGTGCTGGGATTAAATAGATGTGCCACCATGCCTACATTTATAGAAAATGGTCATTCCCACCAGAATAATTTAAACTGTAAACCCAGATTTTTACTTTCAGACCTGTGATTTAAAAAAATTATGCTATTTGTAAAAATGGACTTTTAAGCATCAAAAAGCTTAAGCCAAATGCTCGTAGTCTCAGCACTTAGGAGGCTGAAGGGTGGCCTGATGGTCAGATCCCCTTGAGCGTCAGAGTTCAGACCTGCCGAGACTACAAGGGAAAGGTGTCTGGAGGGAAAAAAGGAAGGAAGGAAGGAAGGAAGGAAGGAAGGAAGGAAGGAAGGAAGACGTTTGGAGCCAGACATAGTGGCTTTTAATCTCTGTGAATCTGAGGCCAGCCTGTCGTATACAGTAAGCTTTGGGTCAGTGGGTGAACTTTGTCTGAGGTAGTAAGAGCACATTCCTGGGTGACTTGAGAGCGGTGCAGTAGCAGGAGGCAGGAGACTGCCTGCGAGGAGCCTGTGAGGCTACGAGGCTACGTGCGGTCGTAAAGGTCCCAGGCAAACTTGCTCTTTAGGTGGGTGATGTCACTATTACATGATTAGAATTTTGTTTTAAAAGACAGTGTGGTGTTTTGAGATAAGGTCTTGTAGCCCATGATGGTCTGGAATCTTTAGTCTTTCCGCCTCAGACTCTGAGTCCTGGGATTAGAAGTCTCTGCAACCACGTGTGACTTTGAGTTTCCCTGAGGCCTGTTTCTATTAACTGAAAGTTTTCATTTTTCCTTAAGTGTATGAAGGTCAGATTTAAAGACCTGTGGGTCAGCGGCTCAACGGCGCTACTTTCTTTTTCTTCCTTTACTCTGTTCTAATTGAGAGTTGTTTGTAGCCTTTGAAACCTCTAGAAAGTTGTATTTTGTTCACCACTCGAGCTAGGAGCAATTCCAGGTGCGGCTTTGGAGCCACTCTCTGGAGCATTAGCCTTTATAGCTTTTGATTAAGAGCTCTGTGGTTAGTTCAGGTTCACAACGGACTGGCTTAGATTCCTTTTCTTTATTTTTGAGACAGAATTTTGCTGTGTAGTCTTAGCTGGCCTAGACTTTATTTATATAATAATGTTCTTCCATTAGATAGTAGAACTGAAAATGATTCAGAAGAAACCAGGGGACAGTTGGGATGGCATTTGAGAGGGAAAGCAAATAAACAAAAAACTAGGGTAGGCAAGCTGCCGGCCTGGAGACGGTGGGTGAGGAGAAAGTCAAGTCTTTGGGGCCACAGGCCAGAGAACCTGGCAGGGTCGTTAATGAAACGTTGTTAGGAGCTGGATAGTTGTGTTCAGAGAGAGTGAGAATATCCAGAGCGTCAGCCAAGCTGACTGAGGATTTCGACTGGCGTCTGGAAAGGAGGTGGAAGGAAGAAGCTATGCTTTCCTGTTAGAACTTGGGACAGCAGATGGACTTAGCAAGCAGTGGAGCTCTGTCAGCCGCCGCGCCGAGGCGTGCTTCCAGCCTAGAAGGTCTGTATCTCATCAAGGGGACCATTGTTACTTTCAAATATTTTTTAAAGAAAAGATTTATTTTTATTTGTGTATATACGTGTGTCTCTCTGCATGTGTGCACATGGGTTCACGGTACCCAAGGAGGCCCAAAGAAGGTGTTGGATTCCGTGGAGCTGGAGTCACAGTGGCTGTGAGCCTCCATGTAGACGCTGAGAACCAGACTCAGGCCCTAGACACGAATGGCACACGTTTATGACAGCCGAGCATCTCTCTGGCCCCACGCTCATCTCTTAGCATCTTTCAGGTGGGATGGACACATTTCCTGAAGACTCTTTTCTTGGCCTAGTGATTGGCAAACCCACATGGCTTAACTCTTAAAGGGAAGAAGGAATAGTATTTCTTTGTGATCTAGAATGGCAAGTCACCATGCATGGCTAGAGGTACAACTCAGGTCCATTCTTCTGGCCAAAAATCACAAAATAGCTGATTATAAAGCACCAAAAAACCAGGTGGCGGCGCTGCATGCCTTTAATTCCAGCACTGGGGAGGCAGAGGCAGGCAGATCTCTGTGAGTTTGAGGCCAGCCTGGTCTGCAAGAGCTAGTTTTCAGGACAGGCTCCAAAGCTACAGAGAAACCCTGTCTCGAAAAACAAAACAAAACAAAACAAAATTAGCCATACTTTACCAAGAGGACAACAAGCCCTGATATCTCAGCCTTCCCTTTTATAAAGTATTGGAAATCTTTTTTTCTCCAGTTTTTCTTTTATTACTTAAAAAAAAAATACCAATCCAATTTCTCCCTCCCTCCCCTTCTCTCACTCCCTTCCCACTCCCTCCCTCCCCACCCACTCCAATCCTAAGAGAGGGCAATGCACCCCGCACTGTGGAAAGTCCAAGGCCCTCCCTACTACATCTAGGTTGAACAAGGTATCCATTCAAAGAGAATAGGATCCCAAGAAGCCAGTATGTGCAGTAGAGACAAATCCTAGTGTCACTGTCAGTGGCCCCTCAGTCTGCCCCAGCTGTGCAAATCTTTTTAAATAATTAAAACCAAACAACTCTGCTATTACTGTGTTTAGTGTGTATGAACAGAGCCAACTTGAGGGAGCACATGCCAGGGCCACTGTCAGAAAGCGGCTTTGTGGGCTGTCCCCCCTCTCCTGCCTTTTGTGGGTTCTGGGGATTGAACTCAAGTTCTGCGGCTTTGGTGGTGAGCTCATGCGGGTTCCCACAGCCACCGCCCACCATGTGCCAGTGGCAGGCGTTTCAGCCCTAAAGCAGGTGCCGCTTCCTCCTTTCACAGGGCATTTTATGTTTTCTCCTTCTTCCAATTAGTTATTTGCCAAGGAAACAAGGAAGATGATTGCAGATTATAAGTATTGCGGACGAAATAAGTCAGCTGATGAGAAATTATAAGTTGCTATTCTTGGTAACTTTAATTAGCGTGATCAAAGACCTGACCTTGAGGAAACAACTTTCCGAGCTGAAACCGAAGGAGGAGAGTCAGCCCTGGGCCTTGGAGGGAGGAGGAGGTCGTCCAGAAGAAAGATCTGTGGCTGAAGAGGGTAGCTAAGAGGCTGGTGGGTGGAGGTGTGCTCAGAGGCGGGCGGGCGGGGCTCTGAAGGCTGTGGGAAGGAGCTGGGTTCAGCACAGCGAAAGCTCCTAAAGGGTGGGGGGGGGGGTGGCATGTGCAAAGTTAAAGGGAAAGAAGAGGCGGCTCTTGTGTGAACATTGGTGGGAAGTAGGGAGGCGGGTGAGGTGGCCCTTGTAGAGGTGCCGGCAGTTTGGACCATGGTGGCGCGCTCGCGCGCGCTAGGGGTGGAGAGAGAAGGGCCTTTGACACTGAACTCTTTGGGAAGCATCCCAAGTAGGCAGTCCCCTTTGAGGGAGCTGTCGCACATGCGTGAGTTCTGTGCGAGGATGTGTGTGTGTGTGTGTGTGTGTGTGTGTGTGTGTCTGAGTGTGGAATGTATGGTGCACGTGAGATGGAGCAGGGGAGAGAAAAGGGAGACGGAGGGAGAGAGAATATGAATATGTGAATATGTTCTGGCTAGTTTTATGCCAACTTGATACAAGCTAGAGTCTTCAGAGGGAAGGGCTCCTCAATAGAGAAAACGCCTCTATGCTCCTGAGCTGTAGGCAAGCCTGTCGGGCATTTTCTTAATTAGTGACTGACGGGAGAGGGTCTGGCCCGTTGTGTGTAGGGCCACTTTTGGACTCTTGGGCTGGTGGTCCTGGGTTCTATAAGAAAGCAGGCTGAACAGGCCTTGGGGAGCAAGCCAGCAAACAGCACCCCTCCATGGCCTCTACCGGCTCCCGTCTCCAGGTTTCTGCCCTGAGTTTCTCTCCTGACTTCTTTCAGTGAGCAGCATAGGAGGTGTAAACAAAACAAACCCTTTCCTCCCCGGGCTGCTTTGCTCGTGGTGTCTCATCACAGCAGCAGTAACCGTAACTAGGACAGAGTATGTTGATGCTTTTGAGCAGGTTACCGGCATGCAACAAGGGGCGTGTGGTGGCGGGAAGCCTAGCTCAGGATGAGAGACGTGGTGGGTAGAGATGAAGGGATGAAGGCCTGGAGGAAGCTAACGTGTAGTCAAGGAGAAATTGAAGACTGATTCAGGCATGCCCTGTTACTCACAGATGTGCTACATCTGGGGTGGATGAAACCGAGGAATAAAAGCCACTGAATGCCACAGGACCCACACTTTGAAACAGGCGCCATTGACTGCAGGTTGGGTGCTTCTACCAGTCTCAATCATAGTTAAAGCAGAGAAGGAAATTTCACTTAAATTAACAGAGATTCCGTGAGTGGTATTCTATCCACTCAGTTGTTCTCTGCCCCTGCTCACCCCACCCTGTCCCCTATGCGCAGACTCACTCTTTTTCACATTAGAAGGTCTTCATGCTGGAGAAACTCACTCTAGTTTTTATTCCTTTCCAGGACATCTTTGAAGATGCCTTGGAGACCATCTCTATGTAAGTAATAATATAATAAAGAAATGTCTTATGAGAAATTCATGGTTCTTGTGTATAAAATGTCAACATTTCAGCGGGCAGTGGTGGTATACGCCTTTAATCCCAGCACTTAGGAGAAGGAGACAGGTGGGTTTCTGAGTTCAAAGCAAGCCTGATCTACAGAGAGAATTCCAGGACAGCCAGGACTGTTATGTAGAGAAACCATGTCTTGGGAAAACAAAAAATGTTAATATTTCATTCTCAATTTTTTGAGCGTGGTGACACTGGGACAAAGTCAGTGGTCTATAGAGAAAGAGTCAGGATGTGATCACACTCGAGGAGCTACCTGACTTTCTCAACACATTTTATTTCTTGCCTTGCTAAATTAAAGATATTTTCTATATTATTTACATGATTAGCTTGGATTGTTGACTTTGGTTAGTATTTAACCACACGTTTAAGCCCGAGAGGTCCTTTGCATGTGGGCTTTGTGTTTTTGAGACAGGGTTTCTCTGTGTAGCCTTGGCTGTCCTAGAACTCACTCTGTAGGCCAGGCTGGCCTTGAACTCACAGAGATCTGCCTGCCTGACCCAAGTGGTTTTTGTAATAATTTAAAATGACTAAGTAATATTAGATCAAGTAGGATGCCATAGTTAGCTACCTCTCCATTGTCAGCCATTTAAACTGTTACTATTTTAGAAACTTAAAAAAACCTTTTATGTGTATGAGTGTTTTGCGCAAGTGTATGTCTGTGCATCACACGTATGTAGTGCCCCCTAGAGGCTAGAAGAGGACACCGAATCCTCTGGAACAGGAATCATGGCCAGTTGTGGGCAGCAGGTTAGGTGCTGGGAATTGAACCTGGGTCTTCTGCAAGAGCAGCAAGTGCTATTAGCAACTGAGCCATCTCTCCAGCTCTAAAAAAAGGTTTAAGTGATGTATGCTTTCATATGTTGAACTTGGTCACGTGTTTGAATTACTAGTTTATGTTTGAATTATTTGTGTGGCCCAGGCTGGCCTCTAACACTTGATTTTCCTGTCTCTAGAGTGTTAATAGAGGCATAAACCACCAGCCTGGTTTTCTCTTATGTGCTTATGGACTTTAAATTATATGCATCTTCCATTTGCTATAGTCTACTTAATACTTTTATGTTAGAATTATAAATTTTTATTTTGTTCACAACTCTTAATGTTTTTGTTGTTGATTGCCTCTAAGACAAAAAAAGAAAAAACAAACCACTTGAATCATAGTAAGGATTGGAAAGCCCCTTTCATTTTGAAATGGTCTCAGATTCTAAGAGTTCCTGTAACCTGCCCTGACTTTCCTTATTATTCATTTAGTAACTAGCACATTATATTTGCTATACTGATGAGTCAACATGGATCCTCCTACATTTCAGACTTGAGTGTCCTCTACATGCCTTATTGTGGGCTTTGTCCTTAGCTTGGTGTTTTTGCAAAGTTTTGGGAAATTTTAGGAGGTGGGACATAGTAGCCTTTGGTCACTGGGGGCATGCTGATGGAGGAAATGATGTGGCTCTAGGTTCCCACTTCCCTTTTTGCTTCCTGGCTATCACAAGGTGAATGGCCTTCTTTTGCCCTGTACCTCCATTTACCGAGATGGACTGCCTTGTCACAGACCCCAAAGCAATGAGGCCAGCCAGCCGTGGAGTAAACCTCCAAAGTGTGAGCCCAAATAAACCCTTTGTTATTTTAAGTTGACAGATCTTCAACATTTGTTACAGTGACAGAAAACCAATACTGATCATTTTTAGTAACTGTAGCCTGTCCATTGTTCTTATTTCTTTAGATTTTACCTTGTGTCCCCTTTTTTCTCTTGATATCTCAACTAAAATATTATACTGTATTTAGTCAGCATGTCTCTTTAGGCTGCATTATTATTATTGTTGTTGTTGTTATTATTATTATTATTGTTACTTTTTTGGAGACAAGATTTCACTGTCTGGTCTTGGCTGACCTGAACACAAATATCAGCACATGGACTGTGTCCTTTGAAGAAATTTAAGTTGCTCATGAGTTTTGTGACTTGTCTGGCAGGAACACGCTGTTAGGGAGGTGTGGTCAGTTAGAACCATCTCATAGCATGTAGAGGTCTACTGTAAGTGTCAACCCACAGCTCTCCCCAGCTCTCCTGTGGAATTCTGTTTCTTGAATGAACCTTTAGATGCTGGCATGTGCTCCTTGGTGCACTGATGACAGGCTATTCTTTCCTAGTTTATGCATACATACTGTTGATGGTGGTGGATGGAATAATTTGTTCATAAAGCAACCATGGCATTCCATAGGAAGAATATATGCCTTAGGGTTTCAGTTACTCTGAAGAGCCATCATGGGGGGACATATCACATGCATGTCAGAGCAGTTGCAGGTTTAATGTGTTCTCGGCAGTGGCTTCTCATGCCATAGCGCCCTGCTAAAGTTTGAGGAGTTTGTAGGTGTTAGTGGGGTCCCAAGGTTGCATGTGGTGATGGATGTGTCAATGCACAAGAACTCCTGAGAACTCGGCAGACTTGGAGAAGGTGAAATAGGTAGGGATTTTTAGCTGGGTGATTAGTAGCTTAGAATGGAAATAAAAATACTTTGTGAACATCTTTTCTTTCTCACCCTGTTCTTTTCAACCATAAGTTATAGATTAGTATGATTTCATAGGGCCATTTTTTTTCATTTGATTTGATCAATTGGTGGTAATGTATTATTTTGCCCAGACTCCCAAAATAACTACACAGAAACTGTATTAATTAAATCACTGCTTGGCCCATTAACTCTAGTCTATTATTGGCTGACTCTTACATCTTAATTAACCCATTTCTGTTAATCTGTGTATCACCACATGGCTGTAGCTTACCGGCAAGGTTCCAGCATGTCTGTTTCCGGCAGCACCTACATGGCATCCCTCTGACTCCGCCTTCTTTCCCCCACTGTTCACTTTAGTTTTCTCTACCTAGCTATGTTCTGCCCTGCTATAGGTCGAAGGCAGTTTCTTTATTAATCAGTGGTAATCACAGCATACTGAGGGGGAATACCACATTACCTCCCCTTTTCTCTCTAAATGAAAAGGAAGGTTTTAATTTTTAGCATAGTAAGATTACATATAACAAAACTGTATCAAGTAGGAATTACAGTTACAATATTTATTTCTACTTTATCTTTTATGATATCTAAGGAAAACTGTAACTATCTGCTCTTCAACTCCATCAAAGACCCCAGAAGGATATAATATTACCTAAGTAATTAGGAAGTGCATTGTAAGCAACTTCCAAAACTCTAGAATTGACAGAGACATTTTGCTGCCTGGATAGTCATCCAAAGTTCTTCTGTAACATTAGAGCATCCATCTTCAGCCTACAGGCCCATAGTATCTGCAGACTTTTCAATGAAGCAGGAACTCTAAAGGACAGTCTCACCTTCTTTAGGCAACTTCAGCAATCATTTTTCTGTGGGTTCTGCTTGTCCAGTTCATACAGCACACCATCAAGCAGTCCAGGGAAAAGCAGTTTCTTGCCCAAATGGCTAGCAAACTTCATAAGGAGCCTCTTTGGTGCCCATTTTCCTCTTGAAGTTATTGGTGCTGCTAGGAGCAGATGTGTCTCATTGTCATGAAAAGTTCCAAGTTCTTAAAACATTTTAAATGCCATATTCTGAAAGTCTCTGAAAGATTTGAAGAATACCCATCTAACTGAACTATATCTCTGTACATCTAGAAAACCTAACTAGCATGACTATAAGCTTGACTATTATAGATGATTACTTATTAACCTATATTTCTTAATTATACATTATATTTTTAAATGAGCCGTCCAAACACAATACCTTAATCAAGAGCAGAAATATTCATATAACAAAATTGACCTTAAATTTGTATCAATAAACCAAGATTCACACCAATGCAAAACTCTATAGCATATCCCCCTTTAAGTGTGAACAAACATTTATAAACAATATTTGGGAATATGGGAGTAGTTATCTCCAAACTGCTTCCTGCAAAGTAATTTTTTGAGTGGTGTTCATGGCAACCTTCCAGGGGTTTTTGGCCCATTAAACCACATTAGTCTGGAAGGATTCCACAATTTCTCATCCTCTGTGGAAACAAAAGAAAAACCTCTTTTCCAAAGCAACGTATCCTTAGACTCAAATTTTGACATCAAGAAACCTTTAAAACATATATGTTGGTTTAGTTTAGCAATCCCAAGAATCAAATGTCTCTCTGCAGTCAAAAATTCAAAGAAAACACAATAATATACATAATCCAGACTCTGTGTATATTCCATCTTTATGTGTCTTATTTTTACTCTATTGCTTTGTAATATTTATTTTATTATTTTTATTCCTTTAACCTATATGACTTGTATTCAGTCTCTTTAAAGACTTTGTTTTAGGAATGTGAGGAGGGGAGGAAGTGTAAATTTTTGAATGGAAAAATAAAAATAATGTAGGAACTTAGTTGGATCCTTAGGCTTTTGTTTAGAGTAGAAAAGTATTTACTTCTCTATTTCTGAAATACAAGGTCTGGCTATTAGCCACACCTTTTGACAATGACCTTGAGAGAGCAGAACTCTCTGATTTAAATCTAGGTGGGACCTTTGTTTGAGGTAGAGACAGACAATAACCTTGAAGTAATAGAGTTCCAAATCTCTGACCTTTGAACGAGGTGGAAACAGGCTCACATTTTTGGGCTTCCACATGTCTCTGGGTATAAACTTTCATATTTAGAAGTTAATTTGACAGATTAACACTTAGAAAAGTAACAATATTAGATTCTCCCCATAGGGCCCATGATTCTCATACCTAGTAGTAGAACCCTGGCTGTTCTTTACTTGAGCCATAGACTACAAGTCTTGTTTTTGATATTAACAACTTACTACTTATCACATGACTTATTCCTCTGACTCATATTATATGTGGACTATAAATTATTCATAGATGTTTTAAGAGCTACATAGATATGATTGAGACTCCAATTAGTTTTCAAAATAGCTTCAAAAAATCCATTAAGAAATTCC